TCCAAGCATAGCTCTTTCAATTCCTCTTTGGGAGACCTGAATAGCATTCTCATCCTGTTTGCATAGGGTCCAGGTCTCTGAGGCGTATGTTAATGCAGGAAGAACAGTGGAATCAAAGAGATGTGCCCAGAGCTGGAGGTTCTTTGTCTTCTTAGCTATTTCTTCGATGCCCTTCAAGGTGTTCCAAGCCGCTCTCTTCCTCCTGCGCAGCTTGGGTGCCAGGTCATTTGTCATGCTGACTTCTCAACCTAGGTACACATAACTGTTGCATTCGGAGATGGTTGTTCCGTTGAGAGCAAATGGAGCATCAGGAACGAGGGTGTTTCTCATAAACATTGTCTTTGTAAGATTCAGCTATAGTCTGACCTTTCCACATTCACGGTCAAAGTCGGCCAGCATTTGTGCTGCTTGGCTAATGTTTGGAGTTATTAAAACAATGTCATCAGCAAAGCGGAGGTGGTGTATTGCCGACCATCTATTTTCACTCCCATTCCTTCCCATTCCAGTCATCGCATGATGTTCTCGAGGGTGGCACTGAAGAGTTTTGGTGAAATGGTATCACCCTGCCAAATCCCTCTCTTGACATCAATGATTACTTCTTTGTAGAATGGTGAGATCCTGGTAGTGAATCCTTAATACAGGTGACGGAGGATCTTGATGTATTGAGTTTGAATGCCCTGATTGGCTAGGGCTTCAATGACCACTTCCGTCTCAACTGAATCAGAGGCCTTCTTTAAATCAATGAATGTTAGACAGAGCGGCATCTTGAACTCCTGAGAAACCTCAATGAGCTTGGTTATAATGTGGATATGGTCGATGTTGCTGAATCCTTTGTGGAACCCGGCTTGCTCGTATGGTTGTCCTTCATCTAGTGTTCTGCCAATCCTATTCAGGCTGACTCGAGTGAATGACTTGTAGATGACAGACAATAGGCAGATCGGGCAATAGTTGCCAATGTCATGGATGTCTCCCTTCTTGAACAGTAGTACGGTCCTGCTGGTTTTCATTTGGGAGGGAACCTTGCATTCAGACAGGTAGCGTGTGAAGAGCCGAGCCAGCGTATTGATGAATACTGATGGCAGGTTCTTCAGGTGTTCAGGGCTGACCTTGTCTGGGTCGGGTGCTGTTTGTTTCTTTACTGACGAAATGGCGTGTTGGATTTCGTCAGTTACAAAAATACTTGTTTCAATTTTTTTTTCTTTTTATGTCACACCTGGCAATGCACAGATGTTAGTCCTGGCTCTGCACTCAGGAATTATTTCTGGCGGTGCTGGGAATAGAACCCGGGTTGGCCGCGTGCAAGACAAACATCCTACCAGCTGTGCTATAGCTCCAGCCCCTTGTTCCAAATTTTTAAAAGACTCTGTAGGTCTCCAACTTATAAAACGTCAACTCAGCGAGGGCAAAGAATGAAACAAGAAATCGTCCTTAGAGCTAAATATTAATAGAAAATGGAAATGTCTTAGTATGGATGAGTTAAAACAGTAGGTTTCAGAAGATAAACATAATGGAATTAAATGTCAAAATCAGACATTGAGTGAATAATTGGGAGAAAAATATGTATGGTGTATTAAGATCTTGCCCATTCAGAGGGAGCTGTGTAAGTAACTTGGACTCATCCCTCCCAACTATAATCCTTTTATTCTTTTCCTCTTGCATTCGCATTTACAAGTTCTCAGAAATCGGGCCCACGTGAACCAACAAGTTAACCAAGAGCTCTGCTCCTTTACCTGAGGTCCTAGGATATGCAAATATTTAGTCAGCACCTCTAATCTTTGGTTACTGCTTTTCCATAGAATGATTTTGTTTCTTTCTTTTTTTCTGTTTATAAACTAAAGTGTTGGCTCCCAATGACCTATTTTTTCTTCTGTATTTATTTATTAAATAACTGTGGGAAAAATTACAAAGCTTTCAGGTTTAAGTCTTGGTCATACAATGATCAAAGACCTCTCCCTTCACCAGTACTCATTTTTCACCACCAAGAACCTAAATATACCCCCCTTCCACCCCTCCCAATGTCTGTGAGGCAGATGATTTCTACTTAACTCTTCTCTACATTGATTACATTCATTATTTAGACAAAAGATGCACCATTATTGTTTAGAATTCCTCCCCCCCAACAATCAGAATTGCTGAAAAGGCATTGTGAAATATTTGTTTTCTATAGCTGGTTATGAGAATTATATAATGTGGTGTGGATCTCTGCAAAAAGCCAGATAATTACGAGATTGGTTTCTGTGCATCTGGTGTTATGGCTGTGCCAGAGAGCCGCTCATGGGGGGCCACTCATGACCTTGGTAGGGTGTGAAGGACGAGCCAGTACTGCCCCCCTTCCTGCTGTTGCCCCGTCTCCACCGGCTCATACCTGGCTTTCCTAAAAGCTCTGAGTCACCTTTCTGCTGGGGGGGAAAAAGGTGGAAGGAAGTAACACCCTTTCCCTCCTGGGAAACTGTAGTTTAATGCGTGGTCCATTCACTTTTCTGCCGCAATCTCTAAGGCTCTGGACTAAGTCCTCCTGCCTCTGGAGCCATGGCCTGCCGGAGAGCTGCTCATGGGGGGGCAACTTGTGACCTCAGTACTTTGTGAAGGACGAGTCGGTTCTGTCCCCCTTCCCATGAGACTGCAGGTTCCCCGTTACCTCCGACTCATACCTGGCTTTCCAATAAACTCTGAGGCGGCAGCCACTTTGTACGTGGTCCAGATGCATTTCTGTTAAAAGCCGTTGGGTTTCGAGATTTGTTTCTGAGACTCTGGGATCATGGCCGTTCATGAGCTTGATCAGGATCCAGAGTGGCCGTTTGTAGGCAGTGACTCGGGGTCTCGTTGGGATGGGGAGGAAAGGCTGGTTCCACCCCCATCTGGTGAGGCCCACGTGTCTCTTCACTGTAGGCCCAAACCTGACTGTCCAGTGGCTTCTGGAGGATGGCGGTCACCAGGCTGCCAGGGGGAACAGGCCAAGGCACGAAACCTGGGGTGGCCCAGTGCCAGTAACCTACTGCAGGAATAGGATGCATTTCAGCTAAAATCCTTTGGGTTCCGAGATTCGTTTCTGAGTCTCTGGGATCATGGCCGTTAAGCAGTTCAATCAGGAACAAGAGAGGCCATGCCTCCAATTACATAGGTGAACCCGAGGTAGTTTGTGGGTGTGTCTCCCATATACCTAAATTTTGACCGTTTACATTCTTGGAAAACTTTGTTCCAAGATTTTGGGGTCTGGCCAAAGGCACAGCAGCAATTCTGGGGTATCTGAAAGTCTGACGGTGCCATCAGGTTGCTGATGCACTTGCCTCACAGGTACAGATTGACCTGCTGGCAGCACCATGCCCCACATGGAATACGTATCCTTAAAAACAGTTGTAAGCCTCTTTTTTCTCCCTCTGACTGCATGACACTGGCATGTTGCCAAACTGTTTTTTGCATATTAATATGATAATTGATACTTTATCACAATACTCAGCAGCCATCTAAGAAACAGGCGGTTAACCAAGTCAGTGATTTCTTTTCTTTTTTTTCTTTTGGCCTTTTGGGTCACATGTGGTAATGCATAGGGGTTACTCCTGGATTTTCACCGAAGCAATACTCCTGGCGGTGTTTGGGGATACCATGTGCGATGCTAGGAATCAAGTCCGGGTTGGCTGCGTGCAAGGCAAATGCCCTACCTGCTGTACTATCGATGCTCCAGTCCCAATAGAGTGATTTCTGACTGTGATGTCTGGTTATTAACCATGGCAGAGTCACCTTAAGATCTGAGTGTAGAGTTCTTTGTCTAAACACATGTGGTGCTACTGCAGGACTCACCTCTTTGCAGAACTTGGCCAAGAAATTTCCTTAGTGTCTTGACACAAGAGTCTCTGGATGCAGCAGCACGCAACATGGCAGTGGGGTTTCATCATACAATTAATTCAGAGAACAAGAGGAGAAAGACGAATTGCTTTGACTCTACACTGAGATGGGGCGCCTGGTCATTTATTTCACATTATCGATGTAGGAGTGGCGACAGGTCTCTGTATTCTTTAAAGGTTCCCAGGTTCTTCAATATTTTAAAGAGTGAGAATATTGAGTAATACGGATTCTCAGAGTTAGCAATCCAAAAGTTTATTGGAGAGGACGGAACGATTGTAGAGTGGGTAGGGTATTTGCCTTGTCTGCGGCGTACCCAAAATCGATCCCTACCATCGTATGGCTCCCAAAGCACCTCTAGGAGTGATTCCTGAGTGCAGAAACAGGGGTAACTCTTGAGTACTGCTGGGTGTGATCGAAAAGTCAAACAAAAAATGTTTTTTGGAAAGTAGAAAAGAAAGAAACTCCCCAGCAAGGGAGGAACTTAGTATAGGACTGAATTTAGTATGGCTCCTTGTACATGATGTGGACTTCTCTGAAAATAAATGACTATAAACCCTTTTTTACTTGCCCTATGGCAATTGATATGTTACCTTTAAAGAAGTGTCTAATCTTTTCTCTCCATTTTTTGGATGGGTTTATTTGTTACATTGTTGTTGATTTTGAGTCCTTTACATATCTTGGATATGAACCCCTTATTTTGTGTATGTCAAATATTTTCTTTTAATTTTAGCCTGAGTTTCTTTAGACATGCACAAAATTTTAGTTTTAAGTTCATTTGTCTAGTTTTGTTTTGTTTCTTACCAATGGAGTAATCATAGACACTTCTCAGGTCTGGTTCATAGAAAGTTTGGACTAGGTTTTCTTAAAAAAATTTTGTGTCACCTCTGGATTGTTGGTGGGGGTTCTTCTCAGATGCTTATAGGACAAAGAGATTCTGAGGAATTAAATTCAGAATTTTAGTTTGTCAAATATTTACAATAACCTTTTGAGTTATATCCCCCGCATCTTGTTGCTTTATGACATACAGTCTTGAGAAGGAAAAACAGGGTGCAAAGAACATGACTCAGGTCGGCCATGTTGGCCGCTTGTAAGGCGAACGCCCTGCCCGCTGTGCTATCGCTCCAGCCAATCATATGATAAGAGCACAAATATAATGATTAGGCTAAAGTGAGAAGCTTCTGGAAGGCTCTCTTGATGTCCTTATTTCTCAGACTGTAGAGGAAGGGGTTAAGCATGGGGACAACCATTGTGTACATAACTGAGGTCACTGTCTCCTTTCTGGAGGAATCAGATATAACTGAGCTGAAGTATACCCCAAAGGCTGTTCCATAGAATAAGCAAACAACGGACAGGTGAGAGCCACATGTGGAGAAGGCTTTGGACCTCCCTCCTTTAGAAGAGACTCTCAAAACAGAGGACACGATTCTGGAATAAGAGTACAGGATCCCTGAGACTGGCACTCCACCAAAAATAGCAGCGATAAAATACATTAATAGGTTATCAGTGGAGGTATCTTCACAGGACAGCTTTAGGAGTTGTGGGGGGTCACAGAAGAAATGAGGAATTTCCACATGGGTGCAAAAGGTGAGCTGTAACATCATCAAGACATGTATCTGGGAGTCCAACAGGCTGACGCAAACAGACGCCAGAAGCAGCAGGCTACAGAGGCGGGGGTTCATGAGGACAGGGTAGTGCAGAGGGTGACAGATGGCCACAAAACGATCGTACGCCATCACCGTGAGAAGTGAACAGTCCAAACAGCCAAAAAAGTAAAAAAGAGACAATTGTACCAGGCAGCTTGCATGGGAGATGGTTTTTCTCTGAGTGAGAATATCCCAAATCATCTTTGGCGCCGTGGTGGAGGTAAAGCCAATGTCAGCCGTGGACAGGATGGAGAGGAAGAAGTACATGGGTGTGTGGAGGTGGGGGTCGGAGCTGACGGCCAGGATGATGAGCAGGTTCCCTGTGATGGTGACCAGGTACATGGACAGAAAGAGGCAGAAGATAAGAGGCTGGACTTGCGGGTCATCGGAGAGTCCCAGTAGCAGAAATTCCACAGTGCCTGTTCCATTGTGAGGGTCCACGGAGCAGACACACCTTTGGGAAAATCAATGAGAGAGGAAACAGGTGTACAGAATCTCATTACTGTGTTTAAACTTTATATTTGAGCAATAAACAAAAACAGTCATTTCATTTGAGTCTGATACATGTTAAAAATACTCGAGATCACACGGCTCTTTCGTCCGGAATGAAGCATAACTAGAAGCTGGCCATAACCATGCCACCGGACTCAGTCCAGGTTGTTTCACTTAGGGTGCCCCAGCGGGTGAGAGCCCTCCCAGCCCAAGGGTCCCAGCTCCGGCACTTGAAAACCTCCAGAACCCAACCGCCGCCATGCTTTAGGCCATTTCCCATATGCCCAGGCTGAGCCTCACGCATGAGCGAACATATTCTTGGACAGACACATCATAAAACACTCCCTGCCCATTCTCCATAAGTACCACAACAGACTTAATGGGATTCAGACAGTAGGCAAAAAATCATAAAAAATATGAATATATACGTATTTTCATATATATATCTATGAAAGTTCACATCACTCAACCTTTAACATGGTAATGATATCCTATAGAATGTCTTAATGGCCCCTGCCAAAATAAAACAATCATCACACTGTTTCCTATATGAATACTTTTTTTTTTGCTTTTTTTAGGTCACACCCGGCATTGCACAGGGGTTACTCCTGGCTCATGCACTCAGGAATTACTCCTGGTGGTGTTCTGGGGACCATTTGGGATGCTGGGAATCGAACTCGGGTCGGCCGTGTGCAGGCAAACATCCTACCAACTGTGCTATACTCCATCTCCTATGAATACTTTTTTGTAAGCATTTTCAGCGGTTCTTCATAACAGACAATGCAAAATATGTTATTTTGGTTGTGCTTTGGGACGGGGATCGGGGCTTGAGATGGAACATCCCAAATTTGGTGGTGGGAAGGTGTAATGGTGGTGGGATTGGTGTTTGAATATTAGATGTAAACAAACCTTATAAAATAAATAGATTTAAATAAATAAGTTTGATTAGTGAAAAAATACTCTTGGATATAACAACACGAAAGCTGAAAAACTATTTTTTTGTGTTGCTGTAGGCTTTGATTTTGGAAAGGTTGAGTTAAAGCAACATGAAGAACAAATGAAAAGTCAGAATGAAACAGTTCCAACTCTTTTTTTTGTTTGGGTCACACGGGTCTGTGCTCAGAGTTTATTTCTGGTTCTGTGCTTAGTGACCACTCTCAGCAGTGCTTAGAGACCCATATGAGGTGCTGTGGATCAAACCCAGGTTGACCACATGCAAAGAAAGCTCTCTCCCCACTGAACTATCACTTTGCTTCTACCTCTACACTTTTTCAGAATAAACAAAAGAAATAAGAGATTCAGAAAGTCTCTAAAAGGAAACCTATTAAAGAACAATAATAAGCAGTAAATTATTTTACTCACATACTAGGCATGCTTTTCTTGCTCTGGATTACTTGTGAACACAGTATTTTAAGTGTTAGCTTTATTTTCCCCTTCACCAGTATTTGGAATGTGGGCTGCTAATTAGGTGTGTGTGTATGTGTGTGTGTGCGCGCGCACGCACGCGTGCACGAGCCACAACTCAGGAAATGGAACTCAGGACCTGATGCATGCAAGTTAAATATTTCACCATTAACCTGTATCCCCCGTTCCCATTCTCTGCAATTTGAAGCCAAAACACTGATTTCTTCTGCCCTCCCTTGGGCTACATGCGACTTCAGACAAGTGTAGGTGGTTTGACATACTCTCCCAGCGCAGAGAGTTCTGTTTCCTTGTTTGTGTGGTATTAATCGTTTCTTTGTGTAGCAATAATCACTGTGGGTGCAAGCTGAATTTAGACTGTGGCTCTGGCACTAAGTGGGGAACTGAGACAATGGGAACCACCTTGAATTTTCCCTCTCTTGCTCTGGATGGACCAGCCCTGCAGCCTGGTGACAAGTGTCCCTTCTGAGCTACTTCCTGATGGCCATTGTGCATGTGGAACTGAGCAGCGCTGAGCTACATGGATTGACCTAGTTAGTCATCCTATACATATCAATAACGTGATTTTCACAGGGCCAATAATTATTGTCTCTGAGACCAATGATATGACATTAGGGTTTTTCTCCATGTTACCCTGAGCCTGGCGTCTCATCTAGACCTTCCGTAGTCTTAGGATGAAATTGTGATGAACACTGGAGTCAGGGGAAACCATCTTATTCTTATCAGATTGTTTGTGTGTTTGGGTACCTATGTGTAGTTAGGGACAAGGATACATTTTGAGTGGTGTTAGGAGTTCACTGGACTCTAAGACATCTTGTGAAAAAAACTGTACTCATGGGGGAGTTGAGTAGAATGAATGGAGAAAAAAGGAAGGACAAAAAGAAAAGGGCCAGGGGAGGGTCTCTTGATAAAGTCTGCATTACTAAGAGCAAGGACACATTGACAAGCTTAACAGTGGTCGCTTCCCATGCCTTTGATCAAAGCAAATTTCATATTTAAGGAGTTATATAAAGAAATAGTCAAGGCACATCTGTGATTGAAGCCCAGCTGATACACAAGTGAAAGCTATTATTCATAACTGGTTTTTAACAATGAAGAAATCAACTTGACGGTCATGGGAGAAATATTTGAGTCAGAGCCACAGAGACAGAACTCCTTCAAAGTCTATCCAGTGATAAAATGATATATAGGTGAAAAGAGCAGAGATGTGATATATATTGCATGTAGCACAGAAGATATGATATAATAGGTGAAAGAACAGAGAAAAACCTGGGTATGGAAGAACAAACAGCTAATTAAAACAGAGATGTACCACTTGCCCCACTGGAATTTCAAGTGTACAGAAAGAGTTTGTGTTGGGTTCTGGAGAAGTAATGCAATGGGAAACTTGCCTTGCATGCACATGGCTGGCCCCTGTTCCGTTCCCAGTAGCCCTCTTTGTTTCTGGAGCCAGCCAGGAGTAATTCCTGAATGCAAAGCCAGGAGTAATCCCTGAGCACCCCAAGGTGTGGCTCAAAATCATACAAACAAATACTTAGAAAAATACCAGATGCAATGGAATAAGGCTGCCCACACATCTTGTGCTTAATGAGTTACAATATGCGTGAAGTGTAAAAGGACACATCATATTCATCAAATGTTGTCATAAGGAAATCACCAGCAAAGTTCCCTGGTGTCATTGTTATCTTCTCCTCACCGTAATGATCAGTATTGTCAGGTATATAACCAATAGAAGGTGCTTGGGGAAGAGTTTGGGAGATTCAGTTAAGGTCCGTTTGACAAGACCAAAGGAAGCTAGAAATGGTGGTGGGTAGAGCAGAACCCTTTATGAGACATCTGTCTCCCCCAACAGGAAAATCAAACCTGAGCTCCCTGTGAGTCTGTACAGGTGCATGAGATGCACATGGTTCCCCTCCCCTGTGCCCCCTGTCTATCTCCAGATCCCATTAATCTGGAGGAGGAGACAAGAGTCAGGACAATCTTGCCCATCTATGCCCCTCACCACTCACTGGTCTCTGCCGGGTCTCTGCTGGCTCATGCTTGGAGCTGGGGCCTCCGACTCTCTCCTCCCTGGTGAGTGATGAGATCTGAGACTCCGTGCTTGGGACCGGGAGGAAGGCGAAGTCAGGCATGAACCCGCACAGGTGATGGTGGTATAAGGGGTTGCAGGTAGGAGCTCACTGAGAAATACCCTCCAGGGCTTTGGGGCTGACTGCTTTATTACTCCTCCATGGCCCAGAGGGATCAATACACAGGACAAATAGTGAGTGTCAGTGTTCCTTGTTAGCCCAGTCTCTGATGGCCTCCTAATTGGAAGAGATTCTCATCCAAGCAAAGGAGGAATGGAATATCATTAGAAGTTGTGGCCTTTACGCACAATTAAACCAGTATAGCAAATCTATCTCAAATATTCTACCATTAACTCCAGACTTTACTATAGTATGTTCATAAATATTACACCACAGGAGAATTAAATGCCTTGCATTTGTATTAAATAACATTTCATGAGTCAATAGGATACTCTTTTTTTTTTTTTTGTAGGAGTACTGTTATTTATTCTGCCACTGATTACCGGATTGAATTGTGCAAGAACTCCACCTTACTTTTTTTTTCATTTTTTTATAATTTTATTTATTGAATCACTGTAAGAGCAGTTACAAAGCTTTTGGGTCTAAGTCTCGGTCATACAATGAAACACCCATACCTTCACCAGTGCCCATTCTCCACCACCAAAAACCCTAGTATACCCCCATCCCAAACCCTCTCCCCACCTGTGGGTCAGATGATTTCCACATTACTCTCTCTCTACTTTGATCACATTCAATATTTCAACACCAGACCCACCATTATTATTTGAGATTTTACCCCAACACTCAGATATGCTGAAAAGGCAACAGTAGACAATTTGTGTTTTATTGCTGGTTATGAATAACATATGATGTCGCGTGGCTGCAGTAGGGCCACGTGATTTTGAAATTCCAAAATTTTAACACTTAAATCTGGAGGGATTTCTGCCAAAAGTCACTGGGTTTCAAGATTTGCTCCTGAGTCTCTGGGATCATGACTGTTGAGCTCCTTTATCAGGAGCCAAAGAGGCCGTTCGTGGGCGATGGCTTGGGGTCTCATTGGGGTGGGGAGGACAGGCCCGGCTCCCCCCCATCCCGTGAGGCCCAACAAGTTTCATCACTGCGGGCCCAAGCTTGACTGTCCAATAACCTCTGGAGGATGGCGGCCATTGAGCCACCAGGAGGAAACAGGCAGAGGGAAAGCACCCTTTCCACCCTGGTGTGGCCCGGTGACAGTAACCTACTGCAGGATCCGGACACATTTCTGCCAAAAGCCGCTGGGTTTCAAGATTTGTTTCTGAGTCTCTGGGATCAAGACCGTTAAATAGCTTGATCAGGCACCAGAAAGGCCATTCGTGGGCGATGACTTGGGGTCTCGTTGGGGTGGGGAGGACAGGCCTGGCTCCCCTCCATGCCGTGAGGCCCAACAAGTTTCGTCACTGCGGGCCCAAGTCTGACTGTCCAAAGACCTCTGGAGGATGACAGCCACCAAGCCGCCAAGAGGGAGCAGGTGGAGTGACAACACCCTTTCCTCTCTGGGGTGGCCTGGTGACAGTAGAGTACTGTGTGGTCCGGATGCATTTCTGCCAAAAGCCACTGGGTTTTGAGATTTGTTTCTGAGTCTCTGGGATCATGGCCGTTAAGCAACTGGATCAGGAGCCAGAGAGGCCTTTTCTGGGCGATGACTTGGGGTCTCGCTGGAGTGGGGAGGACAAGCCTGGCTCCACCCCCATCCTGTGAGGCCCTGTGTGTCTCATCACTGGGAGCCCAAACCTGACTATCCAGTGGCCTCTGAAGGATGGCGGCCACTGGGCCTCCAGGGGGAACAGGCCAAGGCACGAAACCTATTCCCACTTGGGTTGGCCCAGCACCAGTAACCCAGCAGGGACCGGACGCATTTCTACCTAAAGCCGCTGGTTTCCAAGATTCGTTTCTGAGTATCTGGGATCATGGCCATTAAGCAGTTCAATCAGGAACCAGAGACGCCTTTCCTCCAATTGCTGAGCCGGAGGTGGTTTGTGGGTGTGTTTCCCACATACCTAACTTCTGGCCGTTTACTTTCTCAGTAAACTTTGCCCCAAGTTTTTGGGATCTGGCCAAAGGCACAGCAGCAATTTTCGGGTATCTGGAAGTCTGAATGCGCCATGAGGCCGCTTCACAGGTACAGATTGACCTGCTGGCGGCATCATACCTCCAGGATACTCTTTTTTAAAAAAATTTTTATTAGCGAAACACCATGAGGTACAGTTGTAGACTTACAAGTATTTGTGCTTGGGTGTCAGTTATACAATGATCGAGTACCCATTCCTTCACCAGTGTTCATTCTCCACCACCACTGATCCCAGTATCCCTCCCACTAACCATCCCCCCCATCCCTTCCTGCTTCTGTGGCATGTCATAATATGGATATTATTTTTTTGATTTTTAAAAATTTCTTTTATTTTTTAATTTTTATTAGTGAAAGCACAGCGGGTAGGGCATTCGCCTTACAAGCGGCCAACATGGCCGACCCGAGTTCGATTCCTCCACCCCTCTTGGAGAGCCCGGCAAGCTACCGAGAGTATTCGATATGCCAGACACAGTAACAACAAAGTCTCCAATGGAGACGTTACTGGGCCCGCTCGAGCAAATCAACGATCAACGGGAGGGCCTTTACCTTTACCTTTATTAGTGAAACACCGCGAGGTACAGTTGTAGACTTACAAATTTTTGTGCTTGGGTTTCAGTTCTACAATGATAAAGTACCCATACCTCCACCCGAGTCCATTCTCCACCCCCCAATGTTCCCAATATCCCTCTCCCCCATCCCCCCTACCACCTCTGTGGCACATTTCCTCTTATTCTCTCCTTCTGGGTGTTATGGTTTGCAATACAGGTACTAATATATGTTTGGTCCTCAGTCTACTTTCAACACATATCTCCCATCCCGAGTAAGCCCTCCAAGCAACATTCATTTACTTAGTGGTCCTTTCTCTATCTCAGCTGCCTTTCCCCCCAGCATGTAATGGGGGTCTCCTGGCCTTTATCTCTACTATCCTTGGGTGTTAGTTTTCCACTACGTTACTTTATATTCCACAAATGTACACTCGAATCTTGAGATGACTCTGTCATATTCAACAGCCAGAATGCATGTTTTTAGATGACTATTGAGTATTGCTGTAATGTACCAATTACCAAAATGATGTGCAAAAAAATAGCTTTATACCACACTCTAATAATTATTCAAGTAGAGAAAAAAAGAACTGTTACAAAAATACTTGTTCCATTTTTTTTTCTTTTTGTCTCACACCTGGCAATGCACTGAGATTATTCCTGGCTCTGCACTCAGGAATTACTCCTGGCGGTGCTCAGGGGACCATATGGGATGCTGGGAATTGAACCTGGGTCTACCATGTGAAAAGTAAACACCCTACCAGCTGTGCTATCGCTCCAGATCCTTGTTCCAAATTTTTAAAAGACTCTGTAGATCTCCAACTTATAAAACGTAAACCCAGTGAGGGCAAAGAATGAAACAAGAAATGATCCTTCCAGCTAAATATTAATAGAAAATGGAAAAGTCTTAGTATGGACGATCTAAAGCAGTAGATTTCAGAAGATAAACGTAATGGAATTGAGTGTCAAAATCAGACATTGAGTGAACAATTGGGAGAAAAATATGTATTGTGTACTAAGATCCATTCAGAGGAAGTTGTGTAAGTAACTTGGACTCATCCCTCCCAACTATAATCCTTTTATTCTTTTCCTCTTGCATTTGCATTTACAAGTTCTCAGAAATTAGGCCCATGTGAACCAAAAAGTTAACCAAGAGCTCTGCTCCTTTACCTGAGGTCCCAGGATATGCAAATAATTAGTCAGCACCTCTAATCTTTGGTTACTGCTTTTCCATACAATGATTTTATTTATTTATTTGTTTATTTATTGCTTTTTAGGTCACACCCAGTGATGCACAGGCGTTACTCCTGGCTCTGCACTCAGGAGTTACTCCTGGTGGTGCTCAGGGGATCATAGGGGATGCTGGGAATTGAACCCAGGTCGGCCGCACGCAAGGCAAACGACCTACCTGCTGTGCTATGGCTCCAGCCCAATGATTTTATTTCTGTGCCCCAAGCCATCCACCATCTTTTTCCCCCTCAAGACTGCAAATAATAAAGCAACAAGTTGGGGACCGCAGAAAACCCAAGATAGTGGCAGTGTCTACCGATGTGCCCCGTGTTTAGGGAAGTTTTGCTGAGACCAAAGTTCTGTGATGGCTTATGAATTAATTTTGGAAACGTCTCTGAGCCTTGTGTTGCTTAGATCCATGTCCTTACTCAAGTGAATCCTGCACACATGGAGATTCTAAATTCTCCCCATCTCCTCTAACCATGCTTATCTTGCAGACCTGCCTCTTATAGTTTCCTGGATCTAGTGTTAATTTTTTTCAAGCAACAATGCAAGAAAAAAACTGATAAGATTTTCAAACAATATTTCACTCACAATATGAATAGCTATGTTGGTGGGCCCCACTGGTAAAGTGGGAAGGAGAAAGACGGCCACTTTTTCCCCATCTGCCTCTGCCACCTAGGACACAAGGTTACTGGGTTCTTGTTCCACCTTGAAAAAAAGAATTTCAGGAGTAGACAAGCTGTGAAGTAAAACAGATTTTATTTGGAGGTTTTGAAGGGAAGGAGGAAAAGAAACTGGGAGAGAGTGGAGAGTAATGTGCTTAAGAAAGGACCTGGGGCTTCTCCAAGGATATGCAAATAATTAGTCAGCACCTCTGTAGGAGAGAGCACCTACACACATTTCAACATTAGACATGCCTTTTATTTGTTTGTTTTTTTTTTGGTTCACACCCGGTGATACACAGGGGTTACTCCTGGCTCATGCACTCAGGAATTATTCCTGGCAGTGCTCGGGGGGACCTTATGGGATGCTGGAATCAAACCTGGGTCGACCTCGTGCAAGGCAAAAACCCTACCCATTGTGCTATTGCTCCAGCCCCAGTAGCATTAGATATGAATGTTCACATCTCAAGAAGAGAGATGTGGGTGACACATGTGTTTGACCACGGGGGCACAAGTAGC